TTAAGCATCAATGACTCCAAGTCTTCAATGCACAGAATTCAAGAAACTTTTCAACCAATTCAACAAACCTATTATGTGCCAAGCACAGCAAAAGTTTCTTGGGAATAGATAATAAGAAAGCAAAAGTCCTAAACTCCTATTTGGTGTTCAAAACCCTTCATAACCTGGCCTCCTCCTACCTTGTCAGTCTTATTCCTTACCACCCACTCCCTCCCACATAATTTGCCATCCAGGGACACTGGACTCCTTTGTTGTTCATTGAACAAGATACTCCATTTCTTGACTTGGCATTTTCACTGGCTGTCTCCCATATCTAGAATTCTCTCCCTCTTTGTTCCTGCCTCCTTATTTCCCTGGCTTCCTTCCCCCAGCTAAAATCCCACCTTCTACAAGAAGCCTTTCCCCACCTCTTTTAATTCTGTTGATGGTTTTCAATTTTTCCTGTCTATAATTTACTGGTACAAAGTTGTTTGAATGTTGTTCCCCTGTTAGAACCTGAGCTCCTTGTGAGCAAAGACTGTCTTTTGCCTTTCTTTGTACCCCCAGCACTTAGCACAATGCCTGGTACACAATAGGTGCTTAATAAAAGTTTATTGATCAACATTACTGGATGGTTGGAGTTGGGAGGGATGCAATATGGCAGCATCAAAGCTCTGCTACATGATTTTGTGCAAATAACCTCAGTTCTTCATTTATAAGATGAAAGAATTAGATAAGATAGCCTCTAAGATCCCTTCCCAGCTCTCAATAACATAATAGTCTTATTACTTTATATAAACAGATAAGCATAATACAAGGTAAGGAATGAAGGAGGAATAGAAGACATTAGACAAAGGGATTTAAGAAAACTGAAGAGGGGAGAGAGCACTAGCAGAGGAGAGGACTAGGAAAGGCTTCACAGAGGGATGGTGCCTGAGCTGAGCCTTGAACGGAGAGGTGGATTCTGAAAGTTGGAGAGGAGTAGGGAAGGCCAGCAGACAAAGGCAATCCATTGGGGTAGCTTGTGTGACACTCTAAAGTGAGAGATAGAATGTCAAGTGCCTAGAACAGCTAGCTAGTGGTCCAGGTGGGCTGGACTGTGGAGAAAATGAAAGGGAGTAATAGAAGATGAGACTGGAAAGGTAAATTGGAGCCAAAATCTAGTGAGCCTTGAAGGCTGAAGAATGAGTCAGATTCTGGCTTTAATATGAAGAAAATCTTCTTAATGATTAGAACTGCCCCAAAATGGATCATGCTGCCTGAGAAAGAAAGGAGTTCTCCATGACTAGAGGTCTTCAAGTGAAAACTGGATGACCAATTGTCTGGAAGGCTGTAAATAGAGTTGATTTCTGGCCAGGTGTGAGTTGGATGAATGATCTTTTTGGGGATGGAGGGAGTCTCTTCTAACTTTGAGATCCTGCAATTCTTTATGCCTAACTAAATCTCCTCAACCGTCTAACAGTTGCGTTGGGATGCTATGGTGACTGAGCCAGGCATGCCCCTCTAATGGGTTTAGTGAGACAGGGCTGGAAGTTGATGTCCTGTAAGGACCGAAGAGCCAAGTTGTTTTCTTAAGCACACATTTTTCAGCAATCCTCTTTGTGGAAAAGAAAGGAAAACAACAAACAGGCAATCGCACTTTTAACAGAAAAAAATGCATTCCTTGTCTCCCACAAGATTCCTGGGGCTTAGAAGTAGAGGAAGGGAGTATGGGTAGGACTTTACATGGGGAAGTTAAACTCAGGTTGCAGATGTAGTATACTCATGACCAGAAGGATCCTAATTGCAGAGTGAGAAGGAAGCAGAAGGCTGGTGGCCTCAGAGTGGACAG